CTCTGAGCTTGGTTGCTTTCTTGCAGACATTTCACTACCCAATTAGATAACATCATCAGTGCTAGGAGGGAGTGGGGTCATCTAGTTACCCCATTGAGGACTGCCTATATAACACATGGACATCCACAACTGACAAACCAGATAGATGATTAAAGTTGAACCCAGGGGAAACAAAGATTACAGTATGAACTATTCACGTTCAAAGTTCCAGCTGCGACCTTTCATCTTTGATGACAAATTCAGGCCATGTTTGAGGGTATTTTAAATTGATGATCAAATTTGGATGGATTTCAAAGTTTTTTCTGTATTTGTGTCAAACGTGGGATTCCCCTAAAAGTCCTGCTCACACCTGGGACATTTGCTAGAGCAGAACTGCTGAGGAACCAATTTCAGCACAACGTGAACAGAAACTACTTTGAATATTAGCAGCTGCTCAGCAGTGGAAGGGCCTGCCTTCGGTGATAGGGTGATGGACACACTTTAGTGGGAATATTAAGTTGAGGATGAAGGAGAGTAGAGAGCCACCGGGGATAAAACTGGACCAGAGCCTGCAGGGATTCTCTGGCATCCCAGTCACAGTTGTCCCAAAGGTGCTTTTTTCAGGAGGCTTTCTGGACTTTCTTGTTTTTTTTTTTCTTTTGAAGACATTTTGCTTCTCACCCAAGAAGCTTCTTCAGCTCTGACTGGATGGTGGGGAATGGAAGGGTCATTGAAGCACTTGGAGGTTTACCTGTGTCCTCAGGACCACCTGAGTTGTGCTCCTGGTTCCTGTAGTCTGCAATATTTCCTCTGGAAATCCATTCCTACCTCCCACACCATTCAAAGCGTGTTCATGATCCCAAATTGAATAGCTAAAAGTCTGTAGGGATTCTCAGTTATCCAGATCCTGGTTGTCCCAAAGGTGCTTTTTCTGGAAACAGCTGGACTCGCTTGTTTTTTCTTGAAGACATTTCGCTTCTCATCTAAGAGCTGAAGAAGCTTCTTGGATGAGAAGCGAAACATCTTCAAAAGAAAAAAAAACAAAGAAACTCCAGTTGCCTCCTGAAAAAACACCTTTGGGACTGGACCAGAGCAGAAGGAGCCAATCAATTTCCGACCACAATCGTACCACACCCCCAGATTAGCTAAAAACATGACTTTCAATTTCAATGAGCTGGTTAGGATGCTAACAAGGCAAATGCAGTTTTAGGGTGCATACCCTGTTTCTCCAACAATACGCCCTACCCCAATAGGAAGTCCCAGCATGTTTTATAGGCATGAAATGAAATTAAGCCCCCCCCCCAAATTAAGGCCTATATTAAAACATGCGAAATGGGGGGAATGGTGGTGGTGGGTTGCCATTAGAAAGTACTTTTGTTGCACACCCGGATATGGTGCTGCCTGCGTTGACCCCGATACGAAGTGCCCCACCAACGCCGAGGTCAACATCCAAGCCGTCGCTGCCTGCCCAAAGATGCAAGGGGGGAGGAATTAAGTCACCCCCGAAAAGATGACCTAGCCATTTTTTCAGGGCTCAAAAAAAAAAAATAAGGCCCGGCCTTATTATATGAGAAACACGGTAAAAGGGAGCTCCCACTAAAATTTCCCTGGGAGTCACTTTGATGTTTCACAGTGGATAAAGTCACTGAAGAAAGCAATTTGGAAGAGTTTGCTGTAAAATGAATCCAGGCCATCAAGGACACGGTGACTGGACGCCATCCAAACTGACCTTAGCCAGAGGATAAAACAACTCAAAAGAAGTTTTTAAGGAGAGACAGGGCTCACAGAATCACCAAGTGTCTGACTTGGTGAATAGATAACATCTACACCAGGGGTGATGGCATCACTGTAAGATCTGGGGGAACCAGTCCTGCCTTAGGCACAAAGGCAGTTGGGTGACTTGGGTCAGTCCTTCTTTTTCGACCCTAGGAAGCAGCCAATGGCAAACCTCTTCTGTTAACACCTGGCTAAGAAAAGGATAGGCAGACAAGTCCTCCCTACTCCGCCCATGCTTTTATTATGGGATACAGCCAGTCATTGCCATCGTCCCTTGAGTAAAAATTTAAACTGGAGATGGAGATGGAGATTCTCAACCACGCTTGTCCTAAAGATGTGTTGGAAGGGAGATCCATCTGGCCAGGAAAGGCACTGGAGATAAAATAGAGGCTGATTAGATTCAATAAAGATTCCCTTTATTGATGAAGCAGAACCACCAACCACCTGTGATTCTGAGCAGCTGACAAAATGGAGTTTAGAGTACGTGGGTTCTGGATTCCTATAGGGGTCGCGTAGGGGTCATAGCTGGCTCTATAGGCAAAAGAGGAAATGCAAATCCTAGGTCAGAGGTCTCCAAACTAGGCAACTTTAAAACTTGTGGACTTCAAATCCTTGAGAGTTGAAGTCCACAAGTCTTAAAAGTTGCCAAGTTTGGGGACCCCTGTCCTAGGTGTGTCCGAGCTAATCTTGTCAACCTTTGGCTTGTTGTTGCTTGTCTGGAGTTTCTGTCTGACCCAGGTTTTCTGAATGGATCACCAAATCTGCATTTCTAAAAACCGAATCTCCTCATTTCTGCTCAGGGCAAGAAAACTGGGGCTGGTTTCTGCTTCCCTTATGATTTTTTTTTTTTATTTCTCCTTTTGGGGAAATATTTTATCCTACCTTTCTAATATTTCCCAAAGTATTTCATTCTAGGAGGTTGGGAGGGGGGGGAACATCCCACAGATGTTTACATCCCCCCCCCCCAAAAAAAGGCCACTGGACTTTCTCAGTTGCTTTTTTCCCTTTAAAAAAGTTTTGCTTCTCATCCAAGAGGCTTCCCAGAACAAAATAAGCTTCCTGCAGGAGAAAAGCGAAACGTTTTTTAAAAGGAAAAAAAAAAACAAGAAAGTCCAGTTGGCCTCTTGGAAAAGAAAAGAAAAAATTAAAAATTCAAAGCACTTTTGGGCCGAGCGGGAGAGCCCATTTTAAGCAACTCGGGAGACCAAAGCCCAGAAGAGCGGCGAAGGGCCAAGGCCAAGGCCGCCACAGCGCCCGTGCGGGGGGGGAAAATCCTTGGCGGCGGCGGCGGCGCGGAGCCTCGATCGCCAGGTGGCACTGCGATTTCCCCGACGCGCCCGGCCTCGCTTCCCTCTTGGTTAGCTCTTTAGCAAACCGGGGAAGGGCCGGCCAGGCGAAGCCGGGAAAAGGGTGCAAAAGCTCCGGCAGGCTTGCAAAAAAAAAAAAAAAGGAAAGGGGGCGGGAGGCGATTGCAAAAGAGCTTTTTGCACGGCCCCTTCCGCGTTTGCTGCCGCGCGTGGAGAGACCCGGGGATGCGATGACGCGGCACGGTGGGTGTGGGGGGGGGGGGGGGGCCCCACGCTCGTGGGAGGAGCGGGTGCAAACGTCAGAAGAGGCTTTCTCTCCTCCCCCCCCCCTTTCCCGGCTTTGCAAATGGGACGCTGGTGGCGGCGTTGACCCGCGTACTTCGAATTGTGGAATGCCCCCCCCCCCCCCCGCTTTTATTTTATTTTGCTTTTTTTTTTTGCATCAGAGGCGTTGGCCTCTCGGGGAAATAACAAAACAAAAACTCGAGAGGATTTTGCAGGCGCTAAAAGAGTTGGGGAGGGGGGGGGCTGGAGCGCCCGGGGTTGCTTTTTCCGGTGCGCAATTTGCGGGCTTCTCGCTTGGCCGGCCCTGCGCTTGGCGATCGACAAGGGAGCCTGGTGGAAAAGAGCTAGCTGGGGGTGGGGTGAGGCTTGAACCCGCCCCGTGCCAGTTGCACGGTGAAAGAGCCAAATCCGGAGTGTAAATTGAAAAGCCCCCCTTCCCCCTAGAGTGAGAGAGGTGGGCAGGTGGGTTTGCACGATGCATGCATGCAAACTCCACCTATGAGGAGCAGCCCTGTGGGGTTTTTTTGTTTTTCTTAAGCAATAGAGCAGTAAATCAGGTTAAGGACCAAACATGCTAAGGATGCCAGAGCGAGGTGTGGGTCTGGGTCACCTGGCCGGCAGTAAGAAGCTGATGGCCTTGGGGGCTCTGGTGGGCTGGTTGCTGGTGGTCCATTTGTTGGTGAACGTCTGGTTGCTCTGCATCTTATCGGGGTTGTTGGCCTTACTGGGGGGCTGGTTGGGCTCCCAGGTGGTGGTTGGCACCAGCCACCGCATTCACCTGGAGAGGTTTCTCCCCGTTGAAGGCTGCCCTCCGAATCCCGAGGCAGAGAGGGAGCTGGAGGAAGAGATCCGGAATATTATTCGAAAGATCATTCGGGATTTCGTCTCTTCGTGGTACCGGGCGGTAAGCCAGGAGCAGAACTTTGAGAAGGAGGTGGAAAAAGCGATGATGGGCTTGGCTTGGGGGCTCCGAAGGAGGATGCTTCTGGTGGACAAGAAGGCCTTGGCGCAAAAGGTGCTCCTCCTGGCGGGGTGTCACCTTCAGGCCTACAAGAAGGTCCAGGAGACGTGGAAAGAGGCGGAACGCCTCAGAGAGCCTTCCGAGGAGGCCGGTAGGCTGTGGCAAGCCTACTGTGAATTCTCAGAGCCTCATTGGGCTGTTCAGAGCCCTGCGCATCAGGTGGACTATGCCAGGCGGGTGGTGGACTTGTTACTACGGGTCTTGGTGCCCGAGCCTCACCTGGAAAGCAGGACGGGGCGCTTTGTGGTGGTGGAGCTTGTGACGTGCAACGTGTTGATGCCTGTGATCAACAAAATGGCGGACCCTGACTGGCTCAACCAGCTGTGGGTTGACCTCTTCTCCAGGAAGGCCACCGGCACCGTCGAGGTCGCGGAGACTTCCCCAGAGGTATTGGCCGCCTATTCAAGCCAACCTGGGGTGACCGGTGTGTTGTCCCCAGTCCTTCAGCCAGAAATGGCTACCGAGGGCGATAAAGGCCTAGCGAGGGATTCTGAGCCTTTCAACAGGAATGTGGTAGATAGCTTGGAGGACTTCTTGGTAGAGGGAAAGGAACCCGTCGACAGAGCGCTGAGCACCCCCGTGAATGAGAAAGACGATGGGAGCATGGCTGCACCCCTGCTTCACCCTGGTCCCCTTGGGTCCTTCTTCCCCCCCAGTGGAGACTTGGAAGTTGAGTCCCCCATGTCTGACGTAGGAAGAGACCCTAGTTCCTTGATCGTCGTGTCTGCAGAAGAACTCTTCGCTAGCTCCCTTCTTGATTTGGAAGGGCCTCTTGACGTGGATCCAGAAGACGGTTTGGGAGAGAAAGACAGGTGCCCGGAGGATATGGCTGAGGGCTTCCCCTCTGAAGCCAACCTCCAGGCCACATCCCTCGGACCGTGCCCTGACATCCACATAGAGCCAGTGGCTGAAGACGCCTTCGCTTCTTTGACTGCTCTTTTGGAGGATCCAGAAAAGACCTTCCTGAGAAGGCCATCCTACTTGGGGAAAGAGCTGGAGCCCCCCGGGAGCTTGGCCCACGGCCCTCAAGATCGAGCCCAACTGCCAGGTCTGCTTTCTTCCTCTCCCACTGCCCCGATGGGCACTTTCAGCTTTGAGCCACTGAGTCCTGATGGTCCGGTCATCATCCAGAATCTGCGTATTACAGGGACAATCACTGCTCGAGAACACAGTGGAACGGGATTCCACCCTTACACCTTGTACACTGTGAAGGTAATCCTGGTTTCGTTTCCTTCCTTCCTCATTCCCATCTCCTTTCTTCCCCTCCCTCCTTCCCTGCCTTCCTTCCTTCATTCATTCATTCCCCTCCTTCCTTCCCTGCCTTCCTTCTTTCCATCTCCTTCCTCCCCGCTCCTTCCCTCCCTCCTTCTTATTCCCATCTCCTTCCTTCTCTGCCCTTCCTTCCTACCTCCCCTCCTTCCTTCTCTGCATCCCTCCTTCCCATCTCCCCCTCCCCTCTTTCCCTCCCACCCTCCCCCTTCCTATCTCCCTTCCCTCCCTGCCTCCCTCCTTCCCATCTCCTTCCTCCCACCCACCCACCCTTCTTCTCATTTCCATCTCCTTCCTTCCTTCCTTCCTCCTTCCCTGCCTTCCTCCTTCTTTCCATCTCCTTCCTCCCCCCTCCTTCCCTCCCTCCTTATTCTCATCTCCTTCCTTCTCCCCCCTTCCTTCCCTGCCTCCTTCTTCCCATCTCTTCCCTCCCTCCTTCCCATTCCCATCTCCTTCCTTCTTCCCTCCCTCCCCTCCTTCCTCCTCTCCTCCTTTCCTTCCTACCTATCTACCTCCCTCCCTCCCTTCCTTCCCTGCCTCCTTCCTTCCCATCTCCCACCTGCCTCCCTCCCTCCCTCCCTCAATTCTCATTTCCATCTTCCTTCCTTCTCTCCCTCTCCTTCTTCCTAACTTCACCAAACCTGTCATCCCAGCCCAAACATCTGAGATGACCCTTCCAAATCGCCAACGGCCAGGCCATCTCTTGAAGTCAAGTCAAGCTTTAGACCATTCCGTGTGGTTTACTTTGGCAAACAGCTTCTTCCTCACCGATGGTGGTATTTCTCTTCTTCTTTCCATAGTATGAGACGACGTTAGACAGTGACGGCACTAACAGCCTCCAGCAAGTGGCGTATCATACGGTGAACCGAAGATACCGCGAGTTCTTGAATCTGCAAACCAGGCTGGAAGAGAAACCAGATCTACGAAAGTTCATAAAAAGTTAGTCCTGAATTCTCTTTTCTGTAGAATCTTGTTTCAGGCAAAGTGGGGGTTAATTAAGTTAATGTAGAATGTCTACATTCTTCTTCCTCCTCCTCCTCCTCTTCCTCCCCTTTTCTCTCCGCTGGCAATTATGGTTGATTATTTATTTTTCCGTAGGGCATAGCAAATGCAACAGGGTGCATAAAACAACATATAAATTGTATATTAAAATACACGTGGTTTATATCATGATACACGTTATGGTTAAGTAGGGGACAACAGATTAAATGAACTATCTGAAAAATCTCTGGATATATTCTCCATGGTAGAAGCGGTTTTGAGGAATAATAATTGTTACCAGAAAAATGGAATAAAAGCAGATAAAGGCATAATTAAACTAGCTCTGCACCTAACCCATAATATCTTTTCGCAAGCACTGTTTCAGTTCGAAGCAGTTCTCTCTGGCACTTAATCCAATACAGGTAGTCCTCGACTTACGACCACCATTTAGACCAAACTTTTATGTCACTAAGCGAGACAGTTGTTAAGTGGGTTTCCCCCATTTTATGACCTTTCTTGCCATATTTGTCAAACGAATCGTTGCAGTTGTTAAGTTAGTCACTTGGTTCTTAAGTGAATCTGGCTTCCTCACTGACTTTGCTGGTCAGAAGTTCTCAAAATGGAATCATGTGACTCCAGGGACATTGCGTCCGTCATAAATATGAACCAGTTGCCAAGCGTCTGGATTTCAGTCACATGACCTTGGAGATGCCAAAACGATTGTAAGTATGAAAATCGGTGCTAAGTCATTTTTTTCTTTTTTTTAAATAAATTTTATTAAACATTTTCCAACAATTGAAAAATATGCTTACATTTCCAACAACGTTACAGCATCGTCAACATTCGTACTCATATATTAATTACTATGTTATTTTTATGGCTATTGTTTAACCAGATATACCAGGCATCCCAAACCTAATAACAATCACTTCTATCTTTTAACTTCTATCTAGTTTAACTTCTGTCTTTTAACTCTAGGGTCGGCCTGTCCAACTGTTCTGACCCACTCCCCTTTTCCAACAAATCAAACACAATCCAAAGGGAACCGAAACCTTGTAATGCTTCTGCAAAATAATTAGCTGTGATAAGCACAAGCCTTGCTAAACTGTGCGAGACTTGCCAAAAGATAACAGACAAGAAATAATTTGCAATACAAGAATCTTCAAATACAAACTCAGGATACTGGAATGTCCACAAGGTTGGAGTTTCAAAACGCCTTTGCCTTCTGCAAAGTACGTTCGTTTTATCTTCTTGAAGGAGGGGGCATTATCTTGCAGCCTTACTCCCGAGTTGCCCGTGCTGTTATAGCTGCTCTTTCCTGCGAGCAATCCTGCACACATGCGCACTTGGCATAGGCTCCTCGGGAACCTCCTCATTGCTGCTACCAGCCTCCACAATCGCTAAAGGCAGGAGTCCATTCCCTAATGATTCGGGCCCCTCACCTGAGTTCTCGCTTTCCTCAGCCCTCTGCACCTGCTGCCAGCTAACCACAACACCATCTTCACGCAGTCCAGAATCTTTCTTATCACTGTCCCTTCAGATGGTATATTTTCCTGTTTTCAGTACTGTGCACGCCCAATCCTGGCTGCAGTTATTATATGTAAAATGATATATATGTCTGTCTTAGTATGATCTCCCCTTAATATTCCTCTTAGAAACAGTTCCAGTCTTAATTCAATGTTTTGTTTTGTTATTTCCTCTATCCACCTATTACGCCAATAGCTTTTGGCTTCCGAACATGTCCACCACATATGGAAGGAGGTGCCCTGTTTGTTTTTACATTTCCAGCATTTTGAGCTCCTGGTTGGGAACATCTTTGCTAATCTGGCAGTGGATAGATGCCATCTATAAAACTTTTTGTATACATTTTCTTTATATGCTGTTAGTTTATAGCTTTCCTCCCACTTTTTCCCCCAATATTCTAATTCATTATTATATCCCAAATTTTTCACCGAAGCTATCATTGTTTCTTTTACAATTTCACGTGACCTTGGAGATGCCGAAATGGTTGTAAGTATGAAAATCGGTCCTAAGTTACTTTTTTTCAGTGACGTTGGAACTTCGAACATTCACTAAACAAACTGTTGTAGGTTGAGGACTACGTGTAATGTTGATTTTTCTCTCATAGTGTGGTAGGCCTTGACTACGTTTCTGACATTAGGCCTAATTGGCCAGTTTCTCACAACTCTGTAGGCCTGTTTTACAACTCACATGGGTGAAATTAATAGAACGTAGACAGCAGAAACCACCGACCAAATCACAAATCATATTACGGCCTAGCGTAAGGTTTTTCAACCATAGCAACTTGAAGACATGTGGACTTCAACTCCCAGAATCCCCCGAGGAATTCTGGGAGTTGAAGTCCATACGTTTTCAAATCGCCAAAGTTTGAGAAACTCTTGCCGAGTGTGATGTAAACATTGACTGAAAGATGCTGGGTTTTATTACGAACCATTTGAAAAACCTATCAATATTTTAATCATGAGTGAAGAGCTACGATGATTAACGTTGCAGTAAAATTACTCTTGGTTTTTTTTTTAAATACGGCAGACATAAAAGGTCCCAAAAAGCTGTTTCCGGATCTTCCGTTTGGTAACATGGACACAGAGAAAGTTGAAGCGAGAAAAAGTCTCTTGGAATCGTTCTTGAAGGTCAGGATTTCTTCCTGCTACTCGTTTAAATCTGACTTAGTTTTACTGTCATTTTTAAAAACTTGTGTAAACATGTCTAATCTCTCTATATAAAAGCGAAATACCCCTCACGCATCATCACAAAATCTCCAGAACCGTAAAGCCTACAAACTTGAAATTTGAAACGTATGTTCCTCTTGGCTTCTGGGTGCTCACTAAGAAAAGATTTTTTCAAATGACCATCAGAGCATTAGCGTTTCGTATATTATCATTACACGCTCTGATGCTGAGGAGTTCTACTCCTCCTCACCTGAAAAGAAATCTGCTCCAAATGCAAAAAACAAGCAGAGGAATTTCAGTTTTAGTTTCACAGCGCCAAGCAGCTTTACTACAGAACAGTTGAGCTAAGCCACGGCCACGCTCCTTGCTGTCTCCTTGCTCACACAGCAAATACTGCTTCAGTTTCCAAACAGCCTTCAACTCTCACACACTGACAGGACGCTAGCCAGATGAATACCAATGGATGCTGGTATCGAGGCAGAATTTTTTTCCCCTTATTTTTCTCCCCCAAAACTAAGCCCGATCACATAGTTTGTAGCGAAGCGTGGGTATCGAGCTAATAATTCATAAAAATAAAAATAATAGCAGCCAATGCAGGTGGGACCCTCCCTCTTTTACTTGTCCGCTTCAGCAATCCAATCCCCTGGTCTCAAAATGTCAAATGCAGCTCTCTGCTCTTAGTTGTAACCCACCCCTGTCCTCACCCTCTGATGGGAATGCTGGTTGGCTTCACTGCTGGTCTGCTTGCCTCTTGTAGCAACTCTGTGCAATTCCTGAGATCGCCAATAGCGAAGAAATGCAAGAATTTCTCGCCTTGAACACGGACGCAAGGATTGCCTTTGTCAAAAAACCATTTGTGGTCTCCAGGATTGATAAGGTAACACGCTGGATGTTTTCAGCAACATTCCTATACACCAGGGGTGTCAAACTCCAAGCCCGTGGGGTGCTTAGATCTGGGCCATGGGGCCACCTTGGAGAAAGCGAAGGGACAGGCCCGCGGTTGCTTCTGCCAGCGAAAACGGAGCTCACTGAGGCCCATTTTTCCCAACAGAAGGGTGCAGAAGGCCATCGCAGCTGAAAAATTCACTTAACCCCTGTCAATAAAAGTCGTAAAATGTTAATTTTAACAACTGTCTCAGGGAAACAACATAAATTTTGGGCTCAACTGGGGTCATAAGCGGAGGACTACCATCCTATATTGTCTTTTATCACCGTCATTTAACGACCCCATAATCCCTTGCGGGGTGGAGTCTGGGCAACTGAATGGAGCTAGCAGAGTGTTTTAATGGCCGGATGCCCTTCCTGTCGCCAATGCGGAGTTTTGTTCAGCAAATATATTCTCATCGTGCCCAGAAAGAGAAATATCTGCCCCTACCTAGGATCAAACTCACAGCCTCCTGATTGTGAGGCGAGAGCCCCGCCTCTAAGCCACCGCGCCACTTCTGTATTGTCTTTTATGCCAGTGGATATTCCCTTTTATTGCAGATTGTAATGAATGCCATTGTGGATACGTTAAAAACGGCGTTTCCCAGACCTGAGCCACAGAGTCCTACGGAAGAGCTCAGTGAGACCGAAGTGGATGGGAAGCAGCCGGCGGATGGAAAGAAATCCAATAAGTAAGAGTCTTCCCGTTGAGCTCAAATGTGCACATCCGTAGTAGCAACCCCTTTCTGCAGCCTGAAGTCATACTGCCACGAATATCATCTCCATTGGTTCACTTGGGGAATAAATTCTCCGCGACCGCAAAAATTAATCCGTGCGAGTTCATGTCTTACTCCTGCCGGTATTCTTCTGAAATTATCAGGTCCAAGGAAGGCAGAAATACTCCGTGTTGTCCTTCAGGAATAGCTGTTTAATTATTCTGGGTCTTCCGCGCTGGTTATTACTAACAGTGTTGGAATTATTGAGTTGACTACTGAACTTTTGCTGCACCTGCGAGAATTGTAATGCTCAGATTCTTATCTGTATTTCCCCCACGCCCAGTAAGAGATCTGATTTCAGCAAAGTGATCGAATTGGCGGGGGGCGGGGGGAGATAATTGTGTTTTCAAAATCTTGGCTGGACGTGACATTCCTAAGCGGTGAACAGGCCGTTTTGCTTTGTCTAAGAAATCCCTTGGAATATTAGCGAGAGGATGTTTGCGAGTCGTGTTTTGTGTTGGATTCCATGAACGCGGAGCAGAGTCCCAGTGGGTTCTCTTCGGTTTGCTTCCTGCTCAGCGCATTGTCCATTTTCACTTTAAAGTGGTCCACGGGAAGACCCAAAGGATCAGGTACCAGCTGGAACAGGGACAGAAGAAATAAGCTAGCAGACTGTTCGAATGGTTGGAAAGTGGATTAGATCTCTTTGCTCCTAGTAACTACACAAGTGTTCAAAAATACAAATAAGCCATAATTGCTAGGACAATTAACCCGTGGAACAGTTTGCCTTGAGAAATGGTGAGTGCTCTGTCGCTGGAGGTTTTAAAGAAGAAACTAGACAGTCACTTATCTGAATTAGTATAGGTTCTGCTTGAGCAAGGGGGCTGGACTAGAAGACCTCCAAGGTCCCTTCCAGCTCATTCTAGTCTAGTCTAGTCTAGTCTAATCCTATCTCCATCCCTATTCCATCATTTCTCTTCTATTCCTATTCTCTTCTATTCCTATTCTCTTCTATCCCTATTCCATTCTATTATTCCTATTCTGTTCTATTCTGTTCTTTCCTAATTCTATTCTGTTCTATTCTAATCTCATCTAATCTCATTCTATACTTTCCTACGTTCATTCTATTCTTTCCTTATTCTATGCTATTCTAATTCTAATTCTATTCTATTTTTCCTTATTCTATCCTATCCCATCCATTCCATGTTATGTTCTATTCTATTTTTCCTCATTCTATTCTAATCTCATTCTATTCTTTCCCAATTCTATTCTATTCTTTCCTTATTCTACTCTACTCTTCTCTATTCTGTCCTAATTCTATTTTATTCTTTCCTAATTCTATTCGCAGAAAATATAAAGAAACCTTGACGTGTGTGGGTCAGCCCTTCAAGATAGACCACTTAGAGATAGACTACTTAGAGATTAATACATCTACCTAATAGGCAAGTGGCCCAGATTGGAATACAAGAAGGTATGGCTAGCTGATGAGAGCTAAATAGCTTGAAATAGATCTATGCTAGTCTCCCTTTATTTCTTTGTTGGGAAAACATAAATTCAGCTCAGCCTATTATTAAATTACCCAGAAGAAAATACAGGTGCCTCCTACAGCAACTTCTGGTAAAGAGGTTTGGAAAGAATTGGAAAAGTCACACGTGTGTTTTCTTTCACTTGTTGACAATGTCATAACTATTGACATTTTTTTTTTTTTTGCAGATGCTAATAATCATAGAATTGTTGACTAGCAGCCAGCCGTTGGAAGCAACACATCCGTGGGAGTGATTTAACTTCTCAGAGAAATGCCGGATGAAATGAATGAATAAATAGTGTTTTTCCTGCTTCTCTTTTCACAGGTCGAAGCTGAAATTCACATCTGGCAAAATGCTAAATGTGGCTGGAACACCAGAGAAAATTCTATATTCTTTCAGGGATGGCATGAATGTAAGTCTGTCTTCCATCTGAGAAATGTCATTTGCAATATTTTTTTTTTTTACTTTTTTTTCAACAAGCTTATCATTGTGTGAACAGTGTGGTTCCGGAGTGTCTTACATTTTAAAACAAAAATGACAATATTCTTCATATTTAATACAGTTGTCAATTTTTAAAAATTTGACATTAATACATATGTTTTGTTAAATCATCAATCTTGATTGTTCGATATTATGGTATGTTTATGTGTTATTCTCTATATTCTTAGCATCTCTCTTTTTACTACAGATTATATTAATAGTCATATTTGCAGTGTTTAATCAGTTATATAATTCACATAATCACGATTCACAAAATTATATTAAATTATAATTTTCCATTGTTTATCCCCCTTTTAATTTTTAATTATGCCACATATATTTTTTTAAAAAAATCCCCTTTCTACCTTAGTCACCTTTTAATAATAAAATAATAATATTTACGTTGAACAAGTGATGCAGTTCTAATAATACAGTTACTTTTATTAAGTTATTATCTTTCATTATCTTATGCAATATTTCAGTGTATTATTTTTATGTCAATCAAATTCCACAGTCAGGAAATGTTAAAGGGATACTTCCAAAATAGTTAGTGGAAAACGGCTTTTACCCATTTTGCTCCAGTCCTTCTCTTCTTCTAGGCCTCCGAAATCCTCTCCCTGGCAAGGATGGAGTCCTTTATTCAGAACCAGGAGAAGTTGCTGGAGGCCATGTCCAGTGAAGGTCCAGAGAGAGAATGTGATGAAGAATCTCCGTCAGATTTGAACCCAGAGCCCGGAGAGGTGCTGCAGCAAACATCAGATGAAGATACAAATTCTGGTATGTCCTCTCCAGCTCCGAAATTTGCTTCTTTCTGCTCCTGTTATTGCTGCTGCTGCTGCTTTTCCGTAGGGTGCATAGGTGGTCTCCAACCGTACTCAATCCCAGGTTAGGAATTCAGCTCCGTCATTAACGTCCGAGGTGGTGTTAGAGGCATAAGTTAAAGAAGATTGGAAACTGCAGTCCTACAGACCAGAAAAAAATCTCAGTTGGGGAACTAAACTGAACCCCACACTGTGGCAAACATTTTGTGACCGGGCAGAACGAACCCCTTGTGGCAGCCATTTTGTCAAAGTGTACCACACATCCTGACAGTTCCAGATGGGTCCGTCGTAGAGGTGGTATTCAGCCGGTTTGGACCGATTCTAGCAGACTGGTAGTGAAAATATTGACTGGTTCGGAGAATCAGCAAATACCACCTCTGGCTGGGCCCACCTACCCCTGCTTTTACCTCTCCTATATTCTATTATTTATTAGCTCGGCTGATTTGCAGGGAGAGCGGATTGCCGCGCCTCAGCTGAGGTAAAAAACAGCACAGCTCACCAGCGTTGATGCAGAGGGCAGTGTTTGAGCCCTGCACATGCGCCCACGAAGCGAGGTGTCTGAACCAGAAGGAAAAAAAATTTGAAACCCACCACTGGTACATCAGCCCCATATCATTGGACTTGATTGACAGCTCATTAAAAGACACCGTTTTGCCTATTCTGTCAATTTTGCCTATTCTGTGAATGCCCATCCTCAATTACAATAAGCTTTTGAAATAGAAATGGTTTCCACTGTCAAATCAGGAATCGACCACAAGGTGGCAGCAGAATAGCATGAATTTGAAATAATTCCTTCTGTAAGTACTGAGGATTTAAAGCAATACTGAATTAAGGGCCAGCTTGCAATAATTTATTATAGGCTTTTCTCTACCCACCAAATTCTTCTTGGAATGCAGTTCTGCAACGCATTTATGGGCTGGGGAAACGTAAAGAGACATGAAAGCCGTGGTTGGTTGGACAGGTTGGGTAAGGATGAGCTTGGGACGTCATCTCTAGATATGAGAAAGCATCTCTTTATAGCAGGTCTGGAAATCAAAGCAGGCCCTTCCTGATCTTCTGAATGCCTGTGGCTTCTCACATTGCAGTGCTCCGCAGTTCTTAGATGGTTCCCACACAGTGGTGGGATTCAACCGGTGTAACAACCAGTTTGGTGAGCGCATACGCACAGCATTTGAAAACTGCCCATTTTCAAGTCTAATACTTCTGGTGCAGCCCCGATTGAATCAAACAGCTGAGGCGCGGCATAGCCACGCGGATCAGCCTGAGCTTCAAAACACGGAAATAAAAGGACAGACTAGGGCGTGGGTGGTTGGGGCCAAATGCTCACTGGAACAACCGGTTTGTTCGAACCGGTAGAATCCAATCCCTCTTCCCACATCTAAGAAATGATTAAAGACGAAGCTACTGAGATCAGCCAAGGTTCGCTACAGGTCATCCTCACGTTGCAACTGTAATGGAGCCTGGCCATTGCAGTCATAAGTTCTGATGATAGTTAAGTGAGACGCCCGTGTGATCGCCTTGCTTAGTGACCTCTATCCCTGCTTTTCTTGAGACGGTCATTAAATATTGACCATGGTGGTTACAATACTAGCACAATCAGAAAAGAAAGCAGTAAATCTTAAGTTTGTAGGCGGAATGAGCCCTGTTGTCTGGACTCTCCTTACTGTTTTGTTTTCATTCTGCAAATAACTGCTTGATTATCTGTTTCTCCTAATCTGATTAATTTGTTTTACCATCTTTAAGAAGGCACAGTAATCCTATGGTAATCTTGTGGCCTAATCTGGGATAAGCCAAGAAGAGTTGTCATGTTTTTGTCTTTAAGGAGGGATAAAAGCTATTTTTAGACTTTAAATCCTGCCTTTATTATAATTTTATAAATAACTCAAGGTGGTGAATATGCCCAACACTCCTTCCTCCTTCTACCTTCCCCAAAACAACCACCTTGTGAGGTGGTTTGGGATGAGAATAGAGGCACTGACCCAAAGTTACCCAGCCTGCTTTTGTGCCTAAGGTGGGACTAGAACTCACTGTCTCCTGGTGATTGGTCTAAAGTCTCCAGCCAG